ATGGAAAAGGATTTGATTCTAATTGTTATCCAAACTGTGAGATACAACAGTCACGTGGCACGAAAAAGTATGTTAAACACATTGACAATCTTATCCCGCATGCCATTTTTGTGCATTAGCTAGACTACGAATTGGAAGTTAATTCTATCAGAGGATAGTGATAGTATTGTTTTGTATTATTTAAACTCATCTTGTGATGAAGAAGATACTGGATCTATTCATCTGGCTGTCTGAGAGAAATCAAACAAGTAGACACCAGTGGATAACCAATTTCAAATATTGGATGAAACACCAATGTGGACCTCCTGATTGATACAGATAAAATGCAGATTAATTTCTGCAATCAGAATAGTCTTTTGATGAAAAAAACGATGACTGAAAGGAAGTGGTGTTTCTCACTTTTTGCTATCAAATGGTATTTCAAAATAAATATAGGAACTACAAGATGTGATAATCCCTTGATCATCGTAAAGATAGGATGGTTGGTTGATCACAAGGTTAATGGGACCAAATAAGCTCTCCGACCTTACTTACTTAGTTATCAAGCAAAGTTTCGTTAAGAGATGTCTATTGGAAATTGTGTGATAGCTGTTTCACTATTATACAGTTAGGAAAGTTGGTGTAACACCTGCAGGACCAACATAGGGTATATGACTGTTGCTTTCCAAGCTAGCAAACGATTTTTGGAGAGAGATGTGTGTTTGACACCCTATTGTACCCACTCGCATTATCTAGTTGAGCACTATCGGAATTTGTACGGAGCAGATCACTTGATACTCGCTAGATACATGGCTAGATGTTTTTAGATTTAATGCTTAGAACAGTTACAGTTGGACCTGCAAATGATTTTTAAAATTTCTAATACCTCTGAATGCTGAACGGACTTTGGAATATCAGCTTGCTGAGCACTTAGGTGGAACTTTGCAAAGAACGTTAGTACGATGATCATATGAAAAACCACCTGAAATCCCTTGTGTATATGTGTGTAAATGCAACATTTAAGTAGCCTTTTACATGAGCTTCTGATATCTGTATATGACTTCCACATATAAATGGAATGCTTTTTATTTGGCTAAATTGAAATATTAATGAGGAGATTGAATTATTTTTTGGAACTGAAATCTGCTAAAATGAGTAGCTTATGCATTATGTCATAAGTGAACGTGATATGCGCAGTGTTATTTGTGTGGTTTGATATAATATGTTCAATTGAGTTCTGGGGTCTGAGGAACCACTCTAACAACTGATTATATCAGCTAATATCTATCCAGTCCCAGTGCTGCAATTACACTGTCACCCATGGTCAGGGAATCAATACTTATCACTGCCTCATGTATGGAGCCTACTATTTAGCCATTGCTGCCATTTCCAGCACCAGAAATGATTATATCAACCATCAAAACTCAAGTTACAGAAGAGTTTGTTACACAGACACATAAAGTGTTATTTGAGAGTTTACGATGTTACTACAAACACTGTAGTCACATGTTGTACACCTCTTATAGAATTATAACATATCTAAATGGAAGAAGACCTTTTAAGATATACAGTCGAAGAAAAGCAGAAGAATCTCTCGAAAGGCCATCTTTTTCACGTTGTCTGCTCCTTCAGTGCCATTTTTGACATTCCAAACAATGGCTATCACTACCACCTCTGCTGGTGTCAATGGTACGGTATCCATGTCTTGGACTGTTCCAATTTCACACAAGAAGCCTCCAAAACAGTAATATTCTCACTTGTAGTTTTTGACAACAGTACCAACTTTAATCCTGGTTAGTTACTCCCTCCAACAGACCACTGGTTAAAAACAATACTGTAGGTCCAGATAGCTAAGTGGATTGAGGCATGGGTCGTGTATGAGTTGGAGAAGAACAAGAGGAAAACATCGAGCCAGTCCATCCGGTACAAGGTGACTACAGGGCTAGAATCACGTTGAGCTCACTAAAACCAAGTGACAGCTGATAAAGGAGAACATTAGAAAAATCACCTCTGCTACCAGATGTTCTACCACCACTCTGTAGGGTCTATTGTAAGATATGGGATAACAAACCTCAGAAGGAATAATGCTCCCTTTGTCCCTCTTTTTTTTCCTTATTTATTTTTCTTTTCATTGAAATCGTTTTTTTAAATTTAATTTCGTTCAAATAACTAGTGTTTTCAAAGAGTTTAAAAGTTTAGTTTACCATTTATTAATAAATTAAATATCAGTGTGCTACAGTTTCTTTTGTTGCCATTGGTTACTAAAAACTCCAATTATACGCATCATTGGTAATATATAAAATTTCAGTGTACTACAGTGTTTACTATTGCTACTGGTAACTTGTTTTGGTTACTTTTAAATATTATAATTCACCAACTTTACATTTTGTCATTATTTGGTAAGATGTTACAGTTTCATCTCTTGCCATTGGTAACTTACTGTAGTATCTATGATAAGGGAATTTTTGTTTTAAGTACTGTACTTTTTATTATTGATACGCATCTTCATTCAAACCTATTGTTTGTTACTGGACCGCAAGTTTAAATACTTTAATGTTTTAATTGATCATTGGTAAAGGGTTGTGCTTGTCTGTTTTGTAAACCTGTCCTCTAGAGTAAGACGTTTCACAGGCGCGAGAAGCTGGTTCACGGGTTTTCATTTTTTGCTTGATAAATTTTAAACTTTAAAATTCATGTCAGCTTGAGGAAAAGCTTAAAACTAAGGGAGAGAGTTTGAAAAAGTACCATGTTTTCTTTCTTTAGTGGCCAATAATTACCTTAAATAGACTTTCGTATATAAGGAAGTCTGCCTTACACAGTATGTTAATTACACCTAGTATATAAGGAAGTCTGCCTTACACAGTATGTTAACTACACCCGTATATAAGGAAGTCTGCCTTACACAGTATGTTAATTAAGGAAGTCTGCCTTACACAGTATGTTAATTACACCCGTATATAAGGAAGTCTGCCTTACACAGTATGTTAATTAAGGAAGTCTGCCTTACACAGTATGTTAATTAAGAAAGTTCTGCCTTACACAGTATGTTAATTAAGGAAGTCTGCCTTACACAGTATGCTAATTAAGGAAGTTCTACCTTACACAGTATGTTAATTACACCTAGTCAAGAAATTCATCCGATTTCGTATTTTTAGACTTCCTCTCAGACGATATTTTTGGAGACCTATTTTGATCTTGTATCTGGACTCTCTCTAGCTAAATCATTGTGTATTAGTTTGTAAATGGCTAAAGGTTATGACCTTTCTAACTAAGTCATTGTGTATTAGTTTGTAAATGCCTAAAGGCTATGACCTCTTTAGGTCTTCTCACCGGACAGCTGAGTGATGTGAGTAACACAAGCACTCATTCAAAGTTGCCCTGTTCGTTCAACTATGTAGAGACTAATTTGTTCAGTCTAGAGACACAATATATTCAGAATGTACTTAGACATCTCTTTTGACTGTTTAGAAACGCTGCTTTGGGCACTTTTCTAGCTTTTGTTGATTTATTGTAAATAAAATAGTCTCTATTTTTACTTTGTCAAAACGCTACGTTATTATTTTAACAATTTCAACGGAACCTTTCATCAAGATTCTCAGAGAATCATAAGAAAGTCCATCTTTTCAAGAGAAAATGGACATCGTTCTCTACAAGTTAAGCAAATAAAATCGTTTGAAGAAACTATATACATATAGATACCGGGATATTTAGAAGGATATGACAAGAATATAATTCTATAAAATTATAAATGCACAATACATGGGTTATAAAATTTCAGTAAAAGCCATGTTGGTGCAGTACTTTGATACTTTTAATAACGTCCATTAACAGTATCAACACAAACTACTTATATTTCTCATTTGATCTCCTGGTTCACTTGTACATGCTTTCACTACAAGAAATAAAATATTTTTACTTCTCGCATATTCTCATACCTAGTAGAGAAATGTTAATTTGAACTACTCGTAAATGGTATCTCTAATGTATTATGAAGGCTTGTTTTATTTGTATACTATATCGTATACATAGAGAAATGTTAATTTGAACTACTCGTAAATGGTATCTCTAACGTATTATGTAACATAATTATGTATTATGGTTTATTCGTATACTATATCCACAGTAAACTTTACAACTCGTACATTCACTTTCAGTAAAACGTCAAGTTTCTGTGTTACTCGGTATATTCCGTCGTTTGTAAAACTCGAACCATCTGTAGTAGTCGTACAAAATCATCTGTCGCGAACAAAAACGTGAATTGTTGTATTACTATTGAATTTTGTCGCTAGCAAAACGTGGATAACTTGTCCTATTCGTATTTTCTTTTGGTAGTTAAAACATGTATTATCATTTCTATTACTATTGTATTCTGTTGCTAGTAAATTATGGACTATCTGTGCTACTCGTATGAGCTGTACTAAATAGATACGGATTAACTTTACGTCTGATACATTTTGTAGCTAGTAGAGCTTGGATAATATACTCTACGATATATCATTTAACACAGATAACCTGGGCAATATGCTGTACATTTCACAATATTAGGGTGAGAATGCTTATTTAAAATATCAGAGTATTTAAATAAACATTTTTAATAGCTGTAATGTATAAGCAATAAATTAAAGTGTAAGTAACATCGTTCTATCAGTGATATCTTAAACCTCAGTCAGGTTACCTGTTGCAATACCTTTTTTTTATCATTCACTATCTAAACGTACTGGCTGCTTCCCAATTAGTAAGAACATTTATCTTATACAGGACTCGTCATTTCTATTTCAAAGTTTTACAGCCTTTTGCACTTAGTAGAACGTGAAAAGCTAAACCAGTTTTCTCCTTTAATTATAGTTTGTAGTCTTATGAAGAAGAATAGTTTCGGATGTGGATGGTAAAATGTATGAAATATTTGTTTATTCTGTAATCGGTAGAGCATGAAGGTTCCGTTATTATCGTACAGCATGTTTCTAGTATGGTATTTAAAATACTGGAATATTCTGTATCTAGCAGTACACCGATAGGTTCAATTATTCGTACATCTTATCACTTGTAGAATACGGATAACCTGTGTCTGCATTCACCTCAAGCTGTGGATACTGATATTCACGACAATGACAGGAGCTAAGCACCTCTTGAGGGGGTGTTCGACGTATATTTTCGTTCATTTCAAACTGTTTTGGGGAATTATCGTTGTTCCTGTCATGAAGGTGAGTAGCTCGAGTAGTGTTCGAAGTGACGGCACACCGAGAAAGAGACACGGGGCAGTTCAGACTAGAACAACAAGTCTTCCAGATGTTCCTGTAGCTGAAAGCATAGCTCCCATACACAAGGGGATTAACACAGGAGTTGGAGACTGCAAACATGAACAGCGCCGACTGGATCTCTGTAGCTAGCTTTGTGGCTGATTCTACGTCAATCTGGTACCATAAAACGATAACCACATAAGGCGTCCAGCACCAGAAGAAGGCCAGAACGATGATAATCGTCATCCTGAGTGTCCGAGCTCGAGTTCGTTCAATGCGTGCCATGTCTGAACGTCGCAGACGGAGTCGACCTCTGTACTGGTGACCTCTGTCCATGTCCTCTAAAATAAACACCACTAAAACTATTATATATCACAAAAAACTTCATCAAATATATTGCCTATCATTTAGACCAGTGCTATAAGTTATAGGTAATATCTTATTTTCTATCATTTACACCAGTGCTATAAGTTATAGGTAATATCTTATTTTCTATCATTTACACCAGTGTTATAAGTTATAGGTAATATCTTATTTTCTATCATTTACACCAGTGCTATAAGTTATAGGTAATATCTTATTTTCTATCATTTACACCAGTGCTATAAGTTATAGGTAATATCTTATTTTCTATCATTTACACCAGTGCTATAAGTTATAGGTAATATCTTATTTTCTATCATTTATACCAGTGCTATAAGTTATAGGTAATATCTTATTTTCTATCACTTACACCAGTGCTATAAGTTATAGGTAATATCTTATTTTCTATCACTTACACCAGTGCTATAAGTTATAGGTAATATCTTATTTCTGAATGATAAAACTTTTCAACTTTCAATCACGATGAAACTGTTTTTATATTTGTTTTTGAAAATACACGGCTCTCAATTTTCATGAAATGCTTTTTTTTCTATCTGAGAACAGTCGTTAAAATGTGTGTTTGTAGATGTTCATAAAGCCTTTGTTTTTTGAGAGATTTTTGGTTATAATGACTTAATATACCCAGAACAGCATTTCATATTAACTTATAATAAAATGTCATAAGCATCATGAAAAACAAAACAGTCATAATTATTCCACAAACTTTGTAAAACAGAAAATAATATACTGCTTCCGATTTTCTTCTCAAATTGACTCGTTTGTTCTGTTCTTATGAGTTTTTTTATAGTCAAAACACGGGATTTTATATGACTCACTCAATAATATATTCATGGTAGTACACACAAACCTAGAAAACAACATGAATATTTTTGTATGTTTAGGGTATAGCAACGTATAAAATGTTGCAATAAAACGTATAACGCGTATTGATGTTATGTGTACAGTTAACGTGTTTACACAAGTTCGTAAACAAATCATTTTAAATAACATAGTCCGTAAATCGCATAGTATATGGATGTGTAGCGTGTGATCCACATTGAAACGTCTACTGGGGTTTTATCTTAAATTTCATGTACCTCTTTTCCTATTTTGTGTGTCACACATGCACACGCTTTAAGTATATTATAAAATGGAGACACATAAAGTCATTAAGATATCTTCTATGATCTTAGATAATGTCATTGCACATAGTTTTATGTTTTGATAAATTACGAAGATGAAACTATTTATTTATAGAAGAGATGAGATGTTATCCTAAAACACTTAAAGTTTCATGATGAAATTCCATTTGAAGAAAACACTTTTTGTAATTATTGAAAGAGATTAGAATAAGGACAAAAACACGTTCTTTGGTTGTTGAAGTTTCTTAAAGAAGAAAACGAGAAACGTTATTAGGTTTCTGTTATAAAATTATGTATAGAGTACACGAAAAAAATGTTAAAATCGGGTGTATTGTATGGAATAAGTTACTGTTAACATATTGCATATTGTCTAGCTCCACTTATTGTCAACCTAGTGCATGTTGTCTAGCTTTAGTTACTGTTAACTTAAGGCATATTATCTAGCTCTCGTTACTATTAACATAGTGAATATTATCTAGCTCATACTTGCTGTTAACTTAGTGAATATTGTGACAGATATAGTTACTGTTAACATCGCGTATATTGTCGTATAAATATCGCTGAAATCCCACTATTCAGTCAAATGAAGGTAGTTCAACAGTTGGCGGTGGCTAATGTTGACTAACTGCCTTCTCCATATTCTATAACTCCAAAATTTGGGCCGGTAGCTCAAACAGCTACAATACAAGCTACAGCTTGTAGTTTTGCGCGTAATCCAAAAAACAAACTTTTCCTTTTCCTTTATAATTTCTTTCCAAAAATAAATTAATAAATTATTAATATTAACTGTAAAAAGAACAATGAAATAGAAATAATCAAAACGACCAACACGTTGAAAGTTATTAATTTAACGCCACTTTTAAAGTGCAACACCACTCCCCGAATCTAGAACTTTTCTGTAGTGAAAACTGAGATCGACTGATATTCGAACCCGCAAATCTGATTACGAAATAAACTATTTTTGTCAAGCTTAAAAACATTTGATATTGGCTATAGCCTTTCTCTCCTTTCACAAAAAATGAAAATGTGAGCTAATATATATCTATGATAAAGTTTATTTAATACAATGTTGAGTCACAACCAAATCACTACCTCTATTCAAGTTGAGTTAAATAATAAAATTAAATTATCTTTATCAAACAGAAAGAAGCTCATCATAGTGTGTCATACAGTAAGTAATTCAACATATTGTATCAAACACAAGACAGTTCAACATAATATCCTAAATAGAAGGTAACTCAACATGCTGTATGAAAAGGTAGTTTGACATACTGTGTCCAACAAAAAATAGTTCAACATACTGCATGAAACAGAAAGTGTTAAAATGTTTTATTAAGTTGATGGTTAAAATATGTGCATTAAAAGTGAAGGATAATGTTGATAGTAATGGAGAATCAGGCCAATTATTTGATACTTGTTATTCATATTACTTTCCGTTAGTGTTAAGACTTCTACTTGTTCATCTGTATTAAACACACTGTGCGTGGTTCTCACACGAGCTGGCGAGAGTATCTTCATTAGGGTTTTGGACATCACTGCTGTATGAGATCACATATATATATATGACCAATCCACTCGCGGGGTCATGAGGAAAAGACATATTAACCAGCATCTCTGAACCACTCCCTCACTGACATTCCCAAGTACTTTCCATCACATTTACCTTATACAATCACTATCAGCAAATGGTAACTCTGTTTTTGGGTATCATAATTCAGTAGATTTCACCCCTTTTGACTAACATGCTCTACTTTCCTAAATAGCAGCATTAAAGCATTTTCACAACATTCTGAAACTTAGTAATAATATTTTTTTGCATTATTCCCAAACATTTCATATCATCAAGTAAGTGATTAACTGATATCTCAACAAATCCTTTACATCCAACTTCAATCACGTAGAGTTCACCCATCCACATACCCATGATCGGAAAACGACTGTCGGAGTTTAGAGTTCACCCATCCACATACCCATGATCGGAACACGACTGTCGGAGTTTAGAGTTCACCCATACACATACCCATGATCGGAACACGACTGTCGGAGTTTAGAGTTCACCCATCCACATACCCATGATCGGAACACTACTGTCGGAGATTAGAGCTCACCCATCCACATACCCATGATCGGAACACGACTGTCGGAGATCACAATATTTCAACAGCTTTTTGCTGATGAGCCTCCTCTATTCCATTCTCCCATAGTACCAACAACTTTATTATCAATGCAATCATTCCTGACAAAGACCAGACAGTGATGTACTGTCTCAAACTGGTTCTGGTTATTGCCTCTGGAAAGTGACCTACACACTGCCATTCACAAAGACTTGCCTATCTACTACTCGTTCAACCTAACAGGTCTGAACTCTTGTTTCACACTTCTTGAAATTGAGTCCACATTACACGAATGTCATTATTTAATTTATGTAGTGCATATTGGTGTACAGAAGACATTTTGATATTAGAAACGGAAGACCCTATAACACCAAAGTGTTGGAGCTTTGTACTGTCAGTTACGGTTTGTGTTTTAGTGGAACGCTCCTGAAGAAGCTGTAAAATAAACGTTGAGTATCTAATTAAATAAAAACAAGTTCGTGTTATAAGGTCATTTATTTATAGTATGGTACGAATGTCCTCTTTTACAAAGAGTGTCCACGTACCACTGTAGTAACCCTGCTGCCATGGTGACTTAAACATATCTCCAATAGTCTGCATAAATACTCATGAAACTGGATTGTGTAACGAAATGTAACAGCCACAACAAAGTGCACCTAGCTGGGCATACAATAAGCGTTCTAGAGTACCCCTATGTGACTGACAATCTTGGCATAGATTGGAATAAAACATGCCACACTTTTTCTCATTGTTTGGTGATGATACTATCGAACATGAATTTCAGCACACTAGGGATGATTGACGAAATTTGACTTCAAAGAAGATGTTGTTCATTTACACCCCACTAAGAAATCCACGTCTCATGTTGTATCTGTTGCCTGGACCATCATTGCCTTTTCTTCTCTGATGTTGCTCTAATTCGAAATTAAGTTGCCAAGTATTTTCTGCCGTATTATATTTCCTTTTGATGACCTTCTCCTTTGTTATTGCATTCTTCTATACAGTTAAGGGCCAAAGAATCATCAGCAACAGCCTAAAGTAATAGCACTACAGCTTGCATTGTCCAGATAGGCCAGATGTGTCAATTGTCTTCCACGCATTTTCAACATCATATTGCACCTAAACGTCCTTGACACATTCAGTTACAGTGTACAAGTACCAAGGTTTTTGACTTGCTGCTCATGCACATTCAGAATATCCTCTTATACAATGGTGAGGCCCACCACCTTAACACTGCTGTAGTTTAGTGACAGGCTGTTGATTTATTTTAGCTTTAACTCAATTCTGGCCCAGTCCATAATATTCTACAGCTCCATTAATTGGCTTTAGCAGTGCTGATAACAAATGTGCAGGACCAACCATAAAGGCCCACATGAATGGCTATTCAATACCACTCACATACATCCCACTCCTACAAATGGCTTTCATCCTCATCACAAGCTACAGTGGTAAAATAGTATAACCCATTGTTATACCCACCTCTTACCTTGCCAATTTGTGGTGTATGCTCTCATAGCAAATTCAATTTCAAAATTCCCGTGGTACCCAACAAATTTTTGTGCAAATCATGTATGTCTATCCACAGACATTTGCGACTATTTACTTTCATAACAAATTGTTTGAATATCCAGTCAAGACTTTTAAACATTTGTTTCCAAGTTGACGCTGGGATAGCGAATGTAGTCTGTGACATTACATTTAGAATACTTGTTCCAGTTAATCTTAAGATTACTGTATGTGATAATTACAAATATTTACCTTCATTATCATGTGATCTTCTGGATATCACCCACAAGATGCGAGAATAACAGAAGATGATGATGGCCAACGGTACTAGATAAAGGGCCAGTAAACAGAATATGTTGTAGGCTCGATCTTGCCAAAGCTCGGAGAAAAAGCCAAAACTCACACACTGTTTGAAATCAGGATAATCTGGATGGCGTTGAACTCGAAATATAATACTCTAAGAGTGAACAAAGTAAAATAACATTATAATTAAACTTGAAATACACAAATGATGATAATTTATTAGCACTATATATTAAATTTAGTGTAGAGTTAACATAGCATAGTTGGAAAGATTCATGTTTAGGTTGAATAATTTTGTACAAAAATATAAAATTCATAATGATTAGTTTGCGTTTATTCTTCTATTAGGAAATATCTTTATAAGACTTATACAGGGGTCATGCAAAGCTAGTTTTGCTTCTGATGTTATTTACAGAGGGTAACAATTTGTTTATTAAATAACTGCCCCCCAGTGGCACAGCGGTATGTCTGCGGACTTACAACGCTAGAATCCGGGTTTTGATACCCGTGATGGGCAGAGCACAGGTAGCCCATTGTGTAGCTTTGTGCTTAATTACAAATAAACTTATTAAATAACCTTGCTTCTGGCTTTCCCTGTAACCTGTGATTACACGGGTGAAACTTCCTGACCTTTTTCTTGCTTTTCAATTAAAATGTGATGATTTGAAAGTGCAAATGACACCTAAAACTGACCCCTTTTGGAGGGTTACATTATAACTCTTCCCAATACGAAGATCTATTCTGTGGTAAATAGAGCATGTAAGGCACAATATTTTAATATTAAAAAAAAAGGGGATACCTGTAGTTTGAATCATATTAGCAAGGCAAGGGAAAGTGTGATTTCAGCATGAAAAAAACCAGAAAATTCCATGACTGAATGCCAGTCATAAATTAAAGGTATTGAAGAAAGTTAAACAGTTTATCATCCTAAAGTAACCCAAAAACACGTCATTCTTGAAACTGGAAATAATATATTACACACGAATGAATGTTTAAAAAAACACAAAAGGGTTGTTTGTATGTTTGTTTCTAATTAAGCACAAAGCTACATAATGGGCTATCTGTGTTCTGCCCACCACGGATATCGAAACCCGGTTTCTAGCGTTGTAATTCCGCAGACATACCTCTGTGCCACTGAGGGCAAAACACAAAAGAGCTATGCTCACAAGTCTCTCCAAAAGTACATATTGTCGTCACTTTGGACGAACTAGTACGCTTAACTTAAGTAATATCACATTAACAAGATCAGTATAGAACCTGTTGCTAAGGTTTTCCCAAGTTACTTATAGTGATGGTAAGTTAGACATCTGGAGAGTCGAGGAAAATGTCTTGGTGAACTCTGTATACTATCCAGTAAACAAGCAAAACATATCACTTCTGAACAGTCATCTTTTTTGGAATTTTAAAACGTATTACGAAAAAGAAATCGATCTCAGATTCTGAAGTGAAATCAATTCCAAGTTTAGATGATATTTATCATTTCTATGCTTAAAATACTTTTTTATTTTGTATGTGACTTATAAATGATATTGGTAAATTCAACAGTTACCTGACGAAGTGGAAAATTTTTATACCCAAAGCTCTTGTAGGATTGTCTCCCCTCTCACCTATTTCTTATGTGACAATCAATCCCACTATTTGTTGCTACAAGAGTAGCCCAAGAGGGGACTAGTCGCTTTCTCTCTAGTCTTTCAATTAGGGATAGATACCACGAGAGGAGATGTACGCCACCAGGTAAAATCTACCCTGGAATCACCGATAATACATCAGCATCTAAGTTGCTCCAATGAACTTAAGCGGCCTCAGGACCAAACAAAAAACAACTAAAAACAATCAATGTGATGAGAATAAAAGTCAAGCTTGTAATATTTGGCAAGATGTTTGGAAAATGTTCTGGAAGGTGTTGAAAAGCCAAGTGGCATTCAGTTCCAAGTATGTCTAAAGTATTTCATAGGTAACTAAATATTTCTTTTAAATATACAGAGGGTTGAGTGCGCTGTATTAAAACAATTTTGAATATACAAATTAGCAAGTTACGTGAAAAAAAAAACAACCAAGATAAGGTGGAACGACATGTATCAGAACTATTTTTGACATTGTTTGGTGTTCGTAGGTAGTGTTATACCACCGAGATTGTAACAACCCTTTCCGACGCAAAATATTCATACATTCAGATCATAAAGATGTGCTTAGACTGAGGACTGAAAGTTTTCAAGACTTAGGACATCCCTTGTACTTAAAGGTCTTAGAAACAAAGTAATACTGATCACTTTGGGACGCTAGAATCATCCAGAAAGAGACCTGCAACATGTCGTACCCCAGCTGGGGTAAGCAAAGTGCAATGTCTTGCAACTAGCGAGACTCCACAAAGTAAGGGTCAGTGGCCAAAGCCGTCCATGTTTCCCACACAACAGTATACAGCACAAGTAGGAAAATTTCCATTTGTATAAAAACACAAGCCACGTGTAAACAAACTGCTTTAACGACATATCTGTTCAACTATTGCATACCTCAAGCATCTGGAGTATGAATTTGTTTGTTTGTTTGTAGTTAAGCACAAAGCTACACAATGGGTTATCTGTGCTCTGCCCACCACGGGTATCGAAACCTAGTTTCTAGCATTTTAAGTCCACAGACATACTGCGTGCTACTGGGGGCCTGGAGTATGAAACCAGTATTCATGTTGTTTCACATGAAGACATACTGATGAGGTCGTCAGACGCGTGCTTATGGATTTTTGTATGTTCGTATTGTTGAAAAGGACGCCGGTAAATCGTCGTCCTTGTACAATAGATGGCTTATGGAAATCCTCCCGCGATTAGTGGTGTGCTTTTTACGTGACAGCCTTGCAACGAAACGTTTGCTGAGAATTATTGTCAAGATTCACAGCCATCAGATAAAATAGTACGAGACGCGGAGACATGGACTGTAATGATGCGGTGAATTTCCAAAATCATTTTAATATAACGTACTTAACCTCTATAACATTGAGAAGATTTGAATTATTTTCTCGCATACTATACAGTGCTAACTTTTTCCTGTTGGCCCCGCGTGCTTTTAATACCATGACTATAACTACGAAATATTTCGTTATATCAAATATATTTACCAAATGGTAATTAAATTTTTTTCCTATACCTGTAATTAAGAACACATTGCATTATGGCTTTTAGCTCAATCCAAAAACAAACCTGCTCTAAAAGTCATTCTTAAAATCGAAAACTGTTGTATGGCTTTCATTGGATGAAAAATGTCTCTTAATTTTTATGAATTTCAAATTTTAGAAATAAAAGACTATGTTTAAAATAAAAGTGGAGGAGATCGAGAACGAAGTAAACAGTTTTGAAAGAGATAAAAGATGTGAAGATGTGATAAAACCAATAATATGATAAAGGTAAAACTCTTGATTAATTCTATGTTCAACAGACGAAGAAAATAAGGAATGAAATGGTATATGTTAAAAGATAACATTTACTGAATTAAAGAAAAGTTTTGGATTTGTTTGTTTGTAGTTAAGCAAAAAGTTACACATAGAGATATCTGTGCTCTGCCCATCACGGGTATCGAAACCCGGTTTCTAGCATTGTAAGTCCGCAGACATACCGCTGTACCACTGGGGGGGGTGAAAAGTTTGGGAGGCAGAATGAAAAGTGTTTGAAAAATTGCTGATGAAAAACGAAAACTCCCTCAGGTATAAAAGATATTCGAATGTTCAAGATGGCAGATTGAAAAATCAGTGTTTTTTGGCAATTACGAAAAAAAAATTACTACTTCAGATAAAAACAGTAAATAGTATAAGTTTAAACAGAACAACAAACTTACTTATTGAGGTAAAAAATAAAACTGAATTCTCAAGCCTAACAGCCAAGTAACGATCAAATTATACTTTAAAAAGGCAAAGCTGGTAAGGAGGTATTTGTTAGAAGCATGGAATAAATGTATTAAGGATGGGATGTTTGATTTATTTTCAATAACCTACAGGCCCGGCATGGCCAGGTGGTTAGGGCGCTCGACTCGCAATCTGAGGGTCGCGGGTTCGAATCCCCGTCACACCAAACATGCTCGCCCTTTCAGCTTTGGGGGCGTTATAATGTGCAGTCAATCCCACTATTCGTTGGTAAAAGAGTAGCCCAAGAGTTGGCGGTGGGTGGTGATGACTAGCTGCCTTCCCTCTAGTGTTACACTGCTAATTTAGAGACGGCTAGCGCAAATAGCCCTCGTGTAGCTTTGCGCGAAATTCAACAAAAAAACAGCTCTAATCCATATAAGCCTAATTTTTTGAATAGTTTATTTCTACTAGTCATATATTTATGAGAGCTCACCTCATGCTGAGTAAGAACGTTTGTTTACTTTTCTCAAACAATCACTCAATAGCCTTTTTATTAAGATGACCATTTAAGAATTTAAATATATGCCCAATATTTTGTAAACTTTTAGGTAGCAGCTTACAATGGTATTAATAACCTTTGTTTCAAATTATTGTTTCAAAATCTTCACGAAAAGCTACACGCACAGCCATCTAAATTTGGAATTGGTGGACTATACACATGAAAGGAAGATAGTTAGTCAACAGTAATTATGACAAACTTTTGCCCAACTCTTATCTTACCGAATATTAGTATTGATTGTTACATTTATAACGCGCCCATGGCTCCAAAGTGCAAAGCGCGTTTTTGCACCAACACGACACACACCATGAATGAAATATGGGAATGCTAGCCACTAGGTTACGTCAGCCGGTATAATTACATTTCGACATAGTCTAAGTCAAATGAAAAGAGTGATATTTTTATTAATCTTTCTCAAGAAGGCTTGTGCAGGTAGGAGTTATCTATGGGCGGTGTTTGGTCAATGTTTTGTTCTCCATGTAGAAGGAAGGTTGTCCACATACCATTCATATTTACTTTTATATCTGTTATAGATGTACAAGATTTTCTGAATTGTAAAACTGGCCAAACATTTATATTACAGTTCGTTCTGTTATGCTCTCAAACTTAGGATATGTTTTACTCAAGGCATTAGAATAAAGTTAACAATACTCTCTCGACCAGTGGTCATTCCCAGTGGCTAAGCAGTAAGTTTGCGGGCTTATAACGCTAAAAACGGAATTCGATACCAGTGGTGGGCACAGAACATATAGCCTATTGTGTAGCT